TAAACCAAGCTTGACAAGGGATGACGGAAATTCGTTCCAAAATAAATATTTTTGTATGTTCTTTGGCAAATAACGCTCTGTTAACCATATCTTTTAGTATTTTGGCCCACCTTTATACTAAGACCCCTGGACCATCTAGGGAATTCGCTTATATTTTAAATTGCATTGTCATCGTAATAGGCATAATGCTGAAGGTGTCAAGTCTCTAGCTTGGCGGATCGATTGGAAATTTCCGCGGGATGAATTTCATAAAAAATGGACAAGCATATTTCTAAAAAGCCTTGCCTACCGCCAAACATATTTTAAGATTTTTATTGAGCTTTGTACCACAATTTGGTTTTTATTAGGGAAAATTAAAAAAGCAACAAAGTCTAAGCGGTAGAAGTTATAGCAGCTATTTTGGAGATCACCACATTAAGCAACAAGAGCTTACGGGGTGTGCATAGCTCAGTGTTTGGCGCTTCTAACTTTGCACATCGATGATGCGGGTTCGATCCCTGCTGAAGTCTAGAAAAAAAGAAGTCTGATTAGGAGATGTGGTGATCTCCGAAATAGCTGATATAACTTCTACCGCTTAGACTTTGTTGCTTTTTCAAATTTCCCTTATAAAAACAAAATCGTAGTACAAGCTCAATAAAAATATTAAAGTAAATATGTTAATAAGGCACAATAAAATTGACAAATACATAGTTTAGGATGAGCCTGCCTGAAACTATACATACAATATAGCAAAAAAGCAAAATTGATGTATAGAATTTACAACAGCAACCACGCTGTCGAGTTTAAATAGCGGCAAATCAGCTGCACTTGATAGTAGTTGGTTGAATAAGGAAAATTAATTAGCAACAAGAGTTTGCGGGGTGTACATATGTAGCTCAGTGGTTAGCACTTCTGACTTTGTACATCGATGATGCGGGTTCGATCCCTGCTGAAGTCTAGAAAAAAGAAGTGTGATGAGATGTGGTGATCTCGAAATAGCTGCAACTTCTACCGCTTAGACTTTGTTGCTTTTTCAATTTTCCCTAATAAAAACAAAATCATGGTACAAAGCTCAATAAAAATATTAAAATATAAACATTTTAAGATATTTTAAGAACAATTTCCGAACTCCTCGTTCCATTCGGCGATCATCGCCTTGCTTAAAGAATGATAGCCTTTAAAAAAAAAATAATATAGGTGTATTTCAAGGTTTTTGTACTATTAACTGTTTTTACCTAGGACCAAAAATAACTGTTATCTGGAATTAAAGATTTGAGAATGTTGCCCGAATTCTGAAATTTAACGAAAACGTTGTTTCATAACAGTTGTTAGATGAAAAATATCTTTTATTTCGCCGATAAGAGATATGATCCAAGGTTTATATTTTACTTTGTTTGATAAAAGCTAGTGCCCAACGTTTATTTTTTACGTTGCTTGATAACAGTTATTATCGAACGTTTGTTTTTTACGTTGTCTGATAAACGCTGTGGGATATGAATATTGATGAAAACGGAGATGGAGAAGAAGATAAAGACGATGAAAATAAAAGAGGAGGAGTGAAATAACTGTTATCAGACAACGTAAAAATAAACATTGGGTAATAACTGTTATTAAGCAACGTAAAAAATAAACGTGGAGGGAAAACATATAAAAAAAACATATAAATAAACGTGAGGGAAAACATATTTCTCCTGCTAACAGTTATCAGGCAACGTTAAAAGTAAACGTTGGGTTATAACTCTTAACTCGGCTAAATAAAAAATATTTCTCATCTTATAACTGTTATGGAGCAACGTTATTCGATAAAACTTATAACTATTATGTCCCTGGTTTTTACATAAATCCCTTAGTTTGAGCGTAAATTGTGCTATTTTATTCGGAAATTAAAATTTTAAACTTTTTTGTTCCAGGCCAGCAAGACGATGCGAGAATGTGTTTAGCGGTGGCTCTTACTGCCGCTAGACATGGGGCGACTGTTTGCAATCATGTTGAAGTTAAAGAATTGTTAAAGAAGGACGAAAATGGGAAAAAAGTTTTGTGTGGAGCAAAAGTCAAGGATCATATATCTGGAAGAGAATTTACAGTAAAAGCTAAGTGTATTATTAACGCAACTGGGCCATTTACAGATTTTATACGCAAAATGGACAATCCCAACGTAAAGACTATCTGCTGCCCGAGTTCGGGTGTACATATCGTTCTTCCTGGTTATTACAGTCCTGATCAAATGGGCCTTTTAGATCCTTCCACTTCGGATGGCCGCGTCATTTTCTTCTTACCATGGCAGAGGCAAACCATCGCTGGTACTACTGATTTGCCGTGTGACATTACTCACAATCCAAGCCCGACTGAGGACGAAATTCAGTTTATTTTGAATGAGATCAAAAATTACTTGAATACGGATGTTGAAGTTCGTCGCGGAGACGTTTTGTCAGCTTGGAGTGGTATAAGACCCCTTGTATCGGACCCAAATAAAGAAGATACGCAATCACTGGCTAGAAATCATATTGTGCATGTGAGTCCGTCGAATTTGGTCACAATTGCCGGAGGCAAGTGGACCACGTATAGAGCTATGGCAGAGCACACGATTGACGCTGCAATCAAAGGTTAAAAAGGCTGCAAATACCTTCATATTTACTTATTTTACATAAATAATAATGTATTTATTTTCAATAGCCTGCAACCTAAAGCCAGAACGAACAGAAGCGGTAACATCTTATTTGAAAATTGAAGGCGGTCAGGGGTGGACACCAACAATGTACATTCGATTAGTACAAGATTTTGGTCTAGAATGTGAGGTTGCGCAACATTTGGCAAAATCTTATGGTGACAGAGCATTTGCCGTTTCCAAAATGGCATCACTAACAGGCAAGCGATGGCCGATCATCGGAAACCGTATCCATCCCGAATTTCCATACATTGATGCTGAAATACGCTACGGTGTTCGTGAGTATGCCTGCACGGCTGTGGATATGATTGCTCGGCGACTACGTTTGGCATTTTTAAATGTGCAAGCCGCTTCAGAAGCTCTGCCTGTCATTGTGGATTTGATGGGTGAAGAACTGCATTGGTCCAAAGACGAGAAAGAGGCAAGTAAAAAATAATAATTAATACCTATGACTGTATACCTGTGTATGTACATTTGGGTGGTCCAAAAAAACTAAAGTCGGAATTTTAATGCTCTAGGGGTGAGAGGTGGACGTTCCGATGCCATCAAAGTATCGATACCTACTCAAATGAGTTTACTAAAATCGCTATTTCGATACTACCTATATGAGTGAACCGAATGTGTAGATACCTACTTATATCGATAATTTTTCATCCTCGTACATGCAACAAAGCGAAAGTATTTTTCAGGCGTTATCTGGGACATACTGTTTGGGACACCTGACTAAATCGAAGCAATTATTTTCCATAGAAAAAATATGGCCGACTATATATGGCACTTGCTCAAATCGATTCTATACAAGTACTTTTCTTTCGATACCAAGTAGGTATCGAAACAACGATTCAAGTAAAAAAATAGTTGGTATGAAAATAAAAGTATCGAGCACATACTCGTATTTACTTGTAACGGACGTAGAGATGGGCGCTGGATAGCGGGACCCGCGGGACCCATGGTACTGACTTAAAATTGGCCGGGGTGGGCGGTATCGGGAAGATCTGTAAAAATATGGCGGGCGGGACGGGACCAAAATCCTTTCCCGACACTCCCGATAAAACCGCAACCCTCGTAAATTCACAAAATCTTCCTTAAAAACGATGTTTTAAATATGCACTTTTAATGTGTTATTGATACGAAAACGAACAGCAAAGCATTATTTTTATTTTTATTATTTAAAATTAATTTGAAAGACATGAACATTTCTGTCAACCTTCAAACGACGAGAAAATCGTCCAAGTAAACAATAACATGCGTATTTATTTCATTTCATTTCATTAATCGGCTCATTGTCTGCGGCGTATTGCATAAAAACGTGTAAATTGGTACAATGGCCGATTGGGGGCAGCGAATGCTGTTTTTTGGCTTCGATTCAGATGACAACCAAATTTGCCAAAAGGCGTCCTTAAGGTTAATCTTTGAAATGATGTATACCGGAGGTAGTCGCGATAACAGACCGTCAATAATAGGTATTGGATATGTATATTTAACAGTTAATTCATTCAATTTTCGGGAGTCAAGACGGAATCTAACTTTTCCTGGTTTGGCAATTAATACACCAGGGGAGGACCATGGAGAACCTTCAGCTGCCTCAATGACCTCTAATTCCAACATGCGATCTATTTCTTTGCAGAGGATACTTTCCATTGCTGGGGAAAGGGGATAGTACCTTTGCTTAACGGGAGTTGACATACCTGTGTCTATTATATGTTTAAGGAGCTTTGTGGTACCCAGATCTTCCTTTTGAAATGATGGAAATTCAGCTATTGCGATTTCTAACTTCCTTCTCTGAGTCACTAAAGCGGAAATACCTCCGATTCTTCTTCCACAGTTGGCACAATTAAAAATTAAAAATCATTTTCTTCTTTATTAAAGGGCAAAGAAATAGTAAGTGATCCAGCTTCATTCTGTCTCTTCCCGGCAGCTGTTCTAACGATACCAGAGAGTTTTCGATATATCCTATCAGGGTCTTCACGAATTTTTGTTAGCCCCGCTATCTAGCAATGCTAAATAACTATCGCCAAATATAGATAAGCTAGAGTAAGGTCGAATACCCGAACCATTGCCCAGCAAAAAACACGATTACCACAGAAGCGAAAGTGGAAACGAGCTAGGCGATGGGAATCGCTTACCCTTTCGCTTCAGGAAGGCATTATTTTAACATGGGCATGTCATTGGCGGTAAGCCCTTACCCGCAGCATTACCTTCAAACGAAGGGAGAACGCATGGATAAACAGAATCCAGAGAAGCGAATAAAGAATGCCTTACAGAGAAACTAATGTAGAATGCCTAGATAAGTACATACTTATTTATATTAAATTGAAATCAGAAAATGTCTTAAAAGATTAAAATTAATTAAAATTTTGATAAATCAGTTTTTATGCAAACATATGTATGTATTTGGGTATTTAGATTTTACTTAAAAATCGGTATGTACTAAAGACCTGCGCAAAACCTTCTAAAAGGCACACTTTACTACTATGCAGTACTTCCAAGCGGTGTACTACAGGTAGTGTTAACAGCAACACAAAATATTCTATAGCAAGCTGCGCAACAATACAAACACTTCAACATTCGAAATAGAATTTGCTACAGCGACGATAGCGCTTGAGTTTTGGGGTGAAGCAAATTGTAAAACCAAAAAGAAGGGTTGAAGTAAAATAGCGGCAAATCTTAGCAAGACAACCGAGTGCACTAGAACATTTGCATGTATGTATAGCAACTCATTACCAATTGTTAGCTCAAGCCACGCAGTTCGCAGTCAACGTCAAGACCGTAATTAATAAAAATGCATATTTTGAAACTGTATAGATACATAATATACATATGTATGTAGGAGCAGGCAAAATCGCAGATGCTTAGCCAAAAACAAGACAAAAAAAGCGTGGTAAAAAGGAAACATATCACACTTCATTTAGGTAAGCACGCCATAACACTTCTGCACTCTTGTTTTTGTAAAACACTTTAGTATAGGAAGTGCGCGGTCCCATATGTATGTATGTACATACATACATCCATATACATATACATTTGGGTATGCACTTATGCAAAGCAAGAATTCGCTGTCGCCGCTACTTCCACTGAGTGATGCGCGCACTTCCATTTGAAAAAGTTTAGCATCGCATTTGTTCTACTTCAATTTTCTTCTGCTTCAGTTTGGTTCTACTTCAGCTTTGTTCTGTTGTTCTTTTTCCTATCGTGCGGCATTCGTTCGTATGACAAAACCTTTCATGAGTGTAGCAGTTGCTTTGTTATGGGAGTGAAGGAGAGGTACAGTGCTTAAAATGAGAGCCGATGGCTTGCAAGCGATTTATGTAGTGCTTGTGCAGCTGTTTAGTATGTACACACATGCATATTTAATTAAGCTTAAAATCGTACTTCCTCACTCTTGTACTGCACTTCATTGACTGCAAGGCGAATTTATACAAGGTGGTGTTAACAGAACAAAAACAAAAACTACAACAACAAATTATACGCTCCTTGACAATCAGTACAAAGCCAAATTACAACAAACACATGATTTTGACAAAAGGTACAAATTCGCCGTGAAATCAGCGGATCCGATAACACCACCTTGTATAGATTCGCCTTGATTGACTGACTTCAACTTCGCTGCAAATTGAACAAAGCAAAACATGATTTTTATGCGAGATATTCATTCTATTTTTCAGCGAACTACGATGCAGTATTCTGCTTTGCATTGCTCGAAATGAAGCAAAGAAGCGAAATAAAAAAAAAAATATTGTAGGACATTCTACTTAGCATGCCCTGAAATGAAGCAAAGAAGCGAAACAAGTAAAATATTGTAGGACATTCTACTTTGCATTTCCTGAAATGAAGCAAAGAAGCAAATTAAGAAAGAATTATTGTAGGACATTCTACTTTGCATTCCCCAAAATGAAACAAAGAAGCGAAATAAATAAATTATTGTAGGACATTCTACTTTGCATTACCGACAATGCCTAAAAGAAGCGAAAAAATTCGAAGGCATTATAACGCTATGCCTTCTAGAACACGTTACCACTAAAAGCGATTACCAATTTTTTGCTGGGTGGGTACTATTGATGATATAATATGCTTACGCAGTTCTTTCTTATGCTGCCAATACGAGCGCATACGCCTACTTGATCGTGTTTTGGAAGTTTTGAGTCGAACCTGAAAATATTCGAGCACGTTCATAATCCACCAGTCGGATATGGTACGGTCTGAACAATGGCTTAGCTAAATTGGTTTGTGTAAGAGCAACGTTAGATTTTGGAACTGGTTTTATTAGTAACTTCAGGTGAATTTGTTATAAGTTGGGCGCCACAACCATAGCATAATATTCGCCTGGTTTTCAAGCAATCGTGGTACCGGTGCCCGTTTTCCTCATAATTCCAACATTTTGTGTGACTTGTATCTATAGCAGCAACATCTGCACTGTTATCATCCTTTGGGGCATCCCCAACACTTTCTTTATTTTCGGGGTGGAGAGCTACTTCAAAAAGCGAACGTAATGGAGTCTGACGCGGTGCTGAACTATGAAGATCCGGAAAGAATTTTTCGAGCCTCTCTTCTCAAAGTAGCAATGGCGCGTATATCTAAGTGGAGCAACTCGTGACGCAGGTCGGGTTTGATATTTCACATTAATATATCGACTAATTCGGAGTTATTCATTGGAAACCTAACCCGGTCACACATATTCATGATTATGGCCAAAAATGCGTCAAATACTTAGTTCGGCTTTTTGTTTTCTTTTCCTTATATCATCTCTAATTTCTGAGTCATTGGAGAAATCTTTAAACTGACGACGCATAGCTTCGCATCGATCAAACCACGCGAGGTTGTCACTATTTTGACGATACCTCCAAAACCATTTTAGGGCTTTTCCTTCGAATAACGGGTGAACATGTTGGCACAGAGTATCAAAATTGCCATTTAGGTGAAGAGATGTAAGAGTTTTTATGCGATAGATAAACTGGTCTATTGATATGGCATCGTTTGAGCCACTGAACTTAAGTTGCCAATTTCTAATAAGACTCAAAAGTTTTTCAATAGCCAAGGAAATCCTGCCAACTCCCAAAAATTCGCCTCGTGGAGGATTCGACTGTCGATTCGAATTATGCTCCTCGAAAGGTACATCACGTGGCTATGCTGGTAGCTCTTCGCGTCGTGCATTAATATGAGACGGGATTTTACCTGTATTTCTATTAACATTTAAATTTTGAAACAAGTTGCGTATTTCATTGGTGACGGATGCCATGATTTGGATAGGAAAGTCATTCATGGGCTCACTTATAATCAGTTCCACCACATTTTCTGAGACTTGTCTTTCATTGCCACCTGAGGCATTATCTGGACTACGAGACACTGGCATTATTTAGAAGAACAATTTTCGAAAATACAAATAAAACGTTATTCACGTACCGAATCGTAATTCTTTCCACC